TTGTCGGTGACACTACCATAATGTCATCCATGTAAACAATTACATATGAGTGAGCCAGATCTCCGAGCGCATTCATAACTGCACGCTGGAAAACAGACGGTGCATTTTTTAAACCAAAAGGCATTGTCAAGAACTCATATTGCCCCTCAGGAGTGACAAATGCAGTATATTCGACAGAATCTGGATGGATTGGGATCTGGTGGTAACCGCTAGCCATGTCCAAGCAAGTGAAATAATTAGCACCACAAAGTCTTGCAATTTGATCACTAATAAGCGGCAAAGGGTATTTATCAGACACTGTGTTTGAGTTAAGTTCCCTATAATCAACGCAGAGTCGATCTGATCCATTTTTCTTTTTCACAAGTAAAATAGGGCTAGCAAAGGGAGATGAACTAGGTCGGATAATATTACATTGCATTAATTCGTTTAACTTAGCCCGAACTATTTATATCTCATTAGGGCTGAGCCTATACGGGCGCCTTTGTACTGTTTTATTAGAATCTATTAGCCGAATTTCAAAACAAATTGTATAGACCTCACCTCGTTGTACCATACTCGCTTTTGGTTCTTCCTTAAAGCACTGATTTACGCTCTTTTGTTGAATCACCCCCTGTTTTGCTGCAGTCGTATTTTTAGAACACTGGTTAGCAAAATGTCCAGGTTGACCACACCGATAACATGACACGCTAGACTTCTCCTTCTGTTGCTTCGTATCCGCACTCTGTCGCATCTTTGCTCTGCATTCAGCTATTTTATGTCCGGGTTTTTTACAAAAATGACAAAGCACAGCAGACACCTTCGCTTTCTTCGTGTTAGGCCCCGTACATTCAGAAACACCAGCACTACGTTTCTTGTCAAACGTATATGCCTTCAACTCTAATTGTAGCTTGCTTCTCGTTCTAACATTTGTTGTGAAAATTAGTCGCTGTAAGCGAGTATCAAAATTTGCCATATGTGCAAGTACTGTTGAGACAGCTATCTCTTCAATGTTCATACTGCGCCACTTCGTGGTTAATGACGTCACCAAACGACTGGCGAAAACTGCATGGCATTCGCCGACCAACGGACGACTATTCAGCAAATTCAAAAACATGGCTGCTGGCGTCTCTTCGCTTTTGTATCGTTGCATGAACAGTTCCTTAAACTGTTCCCATTTCATACCAGGGTATGAAATTTGTGTTAGCCACTGTGAAGCGCTACCTTCCATGCAATTGCTCAATGCCATCACTAAGCCACTTCCTTCAAGAGGCTTTTCTGATAATATTATATCAGCAGTCATACACCACTGCGATGCGTCGACACCCATTCCATCAGGGTTAAATTTTGGTAATGCAACAGCAGTATTTTGTGTCTTCCCACGAGTCGATGCCTGCATATTTTTCACAATCTCAGCCAAATTCCGATTTTGCATTTCAAAGAAAAAACGCCATTGTTCATTAGAAAATGTAGGAGTTTGGGCCGAGCCCACTTCTGATATCGGATT